TGTAACAGTTAGTTTGTGATCCTGACTATGAACGGTTGCCTTTGCAGTTGTTTGAGGGAGGATGTTTCTGACAAGCATGAGTTTTTTTCTTTTGTGAACAGGATGCAAATGATAGAGCTGTAGAAAATTCATAGCACTGCTAGCTGCTAATCATAGTTACGAGAACTAAAGACCTGAGTAGAAAATTAAGAATTGATGCTGTTAATGATTAAGTGTGAGATTACATATTTCATTCTGTCAAAACAGCATCAGGGTAACAGTATGGGGCTGGCTAAAAATTAGGGAGGGGAAGAAAAAAAAGCTTGCATGATGCCAGTACCTTAGCCATGGCAGTGGTATAAGGTTCTGAAAGAAAATAGAAACCAAAGTACTGTATTTCCTTTTCCAGGAGGTCCCGTCTTGGCTCTGCTGACTTTGAGGGCTCTACCATTTTTACTTGGCATGCAAAGAAAAGTCAAATGTACCAAATCCCATTAAAACAAACAAAAAAAGACCCCAAAACCTCAAGTGAAGTGCTACAGCTGGAGCAAATGCAAAAAAGTGTGCAGTCAGTTAAGCTGTGATCGCTGGTATTGTCATGTTTGTGAAAGCCTTTGTATCTTTTGGCCCCTGGAAAATCCAAAATACATGGGGAAAGGAGGAAAATTAAAATGGAGCACAACAGGGCGTGCAAGGTATGTTGTTCCACACACAGTATTAATTCTGCAGGCTAAGCAGTGGCTGTAAGCATCTTTTTGATGATGAGCATGTGCATTTTGATGACATTTATTTGTGGAAAGCATGTAAGTCTATTCTGCTACCATCTATTTTGCCGGTCTGAAAAATTAAGACAGCTCACCTACCAGCATCTTCGATGCAGTATTAGGCAACTTCAAGAAGTCAGTTTTTTAAATGCTGATAATTTGTTGCTTAAAACCTGGAATATTTCTGCAAAACAAATTCATAATTGTTTCACCATTTGCCTTCATTTGTTGTTTAAGCAGGCAAGGTTTGTAGCTCACAGGAGGCATCTGGAGCAGCAAGAATTAGCAGATTACTGCGTATTCAGATGAACTGTGCATATTATGCGTAGTGGTCCCTTGACCAGTGTTGGGTGGGGTTTTTTTACCTTAAGTCCAATCAATCCTACACTGGCGGCTTTTCATTAGCTGCTCCTGCTCTCACAGTAATGATTGGGATGCAGAGCCTGATGGCAGTCTGTAACTTCTCCTGGTGCCCTGAAGCTCAACAACGTAAGCTGATTGACTCAGTTAGGGCCCCAGTCTCTAACAGCAAATGCAATCAATAAATCTTTGTTGGTAAATAATTGCTATTGAACAGAGTTTTAATATAAATTTATGAGTGGTGTTTTATCACAGCTTGAGGCTACAGCAAGCCACTGAGTGATGGATTTCAGATAACACTTACATTCATTACATTAACTTTGTAAGTTATTTAAAGCTTGTACACTTAACATTGCTTTTGGCTTGCAATGACCTCCTGGGACTAGACATAGCATACACATTACTAATAAAGAGCTCTCAGTACGTACAGACGTTTCCTCCGTTTGCTTTGTACGGTGACGCAGTTCCTTGAGCAAAACCCAAGAAGTGAAGTTCATGCACTCCGGTTGAAGTCTTTTTCCTGTGGCTCATTAAAAGTACAAGCTAGTACAGTCTGGTAGGAGAAGCGTTCCTCCATTAGATGCAGAATTGCAATTTTGGAGGGAAGGTGGTAAAAAAAAAATTTAATTTGAAGTGTGAAATTGTTCTCAGTTTGTGAGCAAATTGGAGGTGTTAAATTCTTAGTGTTGAATCTGGAGGCTTTGGGTCAGCTATGCCGAACTGCAGGGCTAAAATTGCAGATGGAAGACTGTAACAATAAAAGATTTCATACGAATTAGGAGAATAATGTTATCCGATTAATAATAATTTGAGGCAGAGATTATTTCAACAAAAAAAAAAAATATTTTGAAGTAGAAGTTGATTTACTTAGTCCCTGACTGCGTAGCTTAGAGACTAAATGTGATTTTTCCGATGTGCTGTGTGTACATGGGGGCCTGTTTGACTGTGACTGGAGATGTGCCCAAGCTACCTGTAAATTGCCTTGGAGGTACCAAAGGTCAGTGGGAACCCATGTATCTCATTTCCTAGGCAGAGTATCTGATGTGACTTAAATGTAGACATAATGTGACTGAAGTGAAGGGCTTCTCCTTTTTTTTTTTTTAAGTAACATTTCTTGTCATATCTGGGCCATTTATTTTTTTTTAACTTTAGTTAAAGTGCATTTCTAACTGATCTAAACTCCAGTACTAAGAGCATTTCTTCAGACCATTCTATATAATTACCACAGACAAAGTGGCAGTCTCTGGCCTTGGGGAAAGAAAGTGTGGTTTCTATGGGCTTCTCTGCTTCATAACACTTTAAGTTAGCTCCTTGTATTCAGAGCAGTTTCCTCTGCAGGTACTAGAAGATATTTTTAATTCTCACACAATACGAAAGTCTATTCTTTTTGCCAAGGTAGTACCTAAAGAAAATGGATTGGGAAGTCTGGTTTGTTAGTTAGGCATAAGTAGGTGCATTGTCTGCATTTACTGCTGAGTATTTTTTTAACATGAAAGCACAGAATTCCACTTTAAACACAAGCTGAAACCCCATTTGGATCACTTTCCTCATTTAGATCTAAACCCAGAATTTCATAATTCACACCTAGATAGTAGCAAAACCTCTGTGTAGAAAAATGCATGAAAGTAGTGGGGGTTTACTATTTATTGGGTTTATATTTGCCATGAATTGAGAATTACGTTAGTAACAACATGTTTTCTGTATAGCAAAGGGACAATTAAAAAGGTGTGAAATATATGTATTTTACTTTTTTCAAAACTTCAGAAAAAAGCAAGAGGGCGCGTGGGGTGCGGGGGGGAAATCACTGTTGTGATCCTTACAGGTTTTTCCCCATTAAAAGGTCTAAAGAACAGACCAGTGCAGGGAAACAGTAATTTCTGATCCCCAAAGCATAGCGATAACTAGAATTGGGTCCCCCTAAACGTGAGCAAACGTGCTGCAGGTGAGGTATGAAAGATTGGAAAGGTGAAGTGACAGATCACCTACTATAGACAAACATACAGGTCAAAGGCAGAAATAAGCTTTCATTTTTTAATAGAAGAAAACAACGTCTCTAACCACTGGAAGACAGTAATTGGGATGTGCGACTCGCACTCGCAGAAGCTTTTGTAAGAAAGCGTTTCAGAAACCCCATTCTCTCTTGTAAAAGTTTGAGTTGTAGCAAGGAACAGCACAAAAAAAAACCAATTTGACCCCGAGACGGTCAGAAAGTTCGGAGTTTGTACTGCTGTGTAATTCAGTCATCCAACAGAAGCTTTTCTTTATGGTCCCATCCACAGATTGCTTTGAATCACGAAAGGCTGTCCTCTGAAGTTTTATTCAAAGTGTGTGTCCAGGAACAGGCGGTTGTGAACTTGGCTTTTCCGCTGGGATCATTTCTGCGGTTGCAAAAGGAGAGAGTTGTTCATGCGGATTGTGGCGAGGGACTTCAGCCAAAAGTTGCAATGGAGGGAGAAAAAAAATTACCAAGCTCTGGAGGATTTCTGCTCATGCAGAACTGCCCCTTGTCCCCTTTGTGGCTCTGGGATTAGGTCTGCAGAGAGATCACTTTATAAAGCTGCAGGTCTAATGGGAAAACAGGTAACATTACTTGTTTTCGAGGTTTTAACCTGCTTTAACAAAAACAACTCCATGGGATTTGGGAGCACCATGCTTGATAATGCATCTTCCTATGCTCTGTTTTCCCATTTTCTTAAGTTCCATGGAAACAAGACTGGAAAAACAAGACTGCAAAATTTTATGGGGATTAAAGAACTGAAGTTTGTACTGGGTTAGATTCCTGGTTATGGTTTAATGAAATGAATATAAGTGTCTGCTTTTATCAGAACTTGATCTGTGGAACTAGTGAGTCCCTGTGGTAGGTACCGTACGTAGTGTCTCCACCAGGACGTTTCAGTAAGACTTTCAGTAACGAAAGTACTGTATGAATTCATTAGAAACTGCATTCTGACTTGGTTTTGGAAGTGCGCTGCTAAAGCATGGCTTGATTTACCACCTTCGTTGTGCTACAGCATGTTATTTTGCTTTTCTAAGTGACTTTCTATTTTTGAGCTGAGAACAGGTTAGTGTGCAGTATTAGTCCTTGTCCATTTGAACACAATGATGACTTTTTATCTCAACTGTTCATGGTTAGCATTAATCACTGATTTTTAGGTTGAATGCAATTTGTGGAAAGGTGAGGCACCTTGCCCACCTTCTTTCCTCTGATCTACACCTCTTTCATTAAATTATCCAGAATTTATTGGAACAACTTTGCATTTGCCCTGTTTCCATTTTACTGCTTTTGCTTAGAATTGGTGTCTCTTTGGCTGGAATGAATAGTGAGGAGGATTTCCATTGCTGTGTCACCTTACTGCGAAGGGAATGAGAGCATAAACGTGTGCTCTTCCCTGCTTGCGAAGAGGCTGAGCCTGGACAAGGAATCCCAAGGAACACGCTGCAGGGAGCTCAAGCCACGCGATAGAATCCTCACTCAACCTGGGGTTCATAATTTATTTTAGAGGGCTAGGAAATGCCCTGAGAGTGGTGTCTTTTATCAGCCAGGAGTGCACATGGGTAAGCTTACTCTGTGTCACGTGAAAATGAGCTTTCCTGAGGTATGGAATTCTGTGCAAAAGGGTTTTCTCTACATGTTAGACAAAGCCAGTGCTGATACAGTCTTTTCTGTTTATGTGACTTGCTTTATGAAAGCCGCACTTAGAGCTTTTCCTCCTAAATTGCAAGCACTGAAGTTGCTGATGGAGAAAATGTGCATCATGGAAGAAGCAGAGGAAAATTAGTAACTTGCAGGAGAAAGCATATCTAAAAATGTTGGCAATTATATTTACCTCTTTCTGTGTCTTAAATAGTTGTGTGTTGGCAAAAGTGTTCAGTCTTTTTTCTTTTTTCCTCTAATAGGGTATGCTGCTAAAGCGAAGTGGCAAGTCATTGAATAAAGAGTGGAAGAAGAAATATGTGACGTTGTGCGACAACGGTGTGCTGACCTATCATCCTAGTTTACACGTAAGTACACCATGAGCTCTGAATGTTCAGCGACATCAGGCCCTGAAAAAACACTGTTAGCGAGTTCATCCTGATGTGGTTTTGCTGAGCCCTCTTTGGTGGAAAAACTTCTTTCTCTCTCTTCATCCCCTTCCCTCTCAAAAAGACAGTCTGAAATAAAATTCTCTGGTGCAAGTCTGAGTACGGTGTTGTGGTTTAACCCAGTAGGCAGCTAAACACCACACAGCCATTTGGTCACTCCTCCTCAGTGGGATGGGAGGGAGAATCGGAAAAAAAAAAAAACCAAACAACTTGTGGGTTGAGATAAAGACAATTTAATAGGACAGAAAAGGAAGGGAAAATAATACTAATGATAAAAGAATATACAAAACAAGCGATGTACCATGCAGTTGCTCACCACCCGCTGACCGATGCCCAGCCAGTTCCTGAGCAGCAGTCCCCTGAGCAGCGGACCCCCAACCAGTTTTTCCCCTAGTTTATATGCTGAACATTATGTCGTATGGTGTGGGATATCCCTCTGGCCAGTTGGGGTCAGCTGTCCCAGCCGTGCCCCCCTCCCAACTTCTTGTGCACCCCCAGCCTCCTCACTGGTGGGGTGGGGTGAGGAGCAGAAGAGGTCTTGTCTCTGTGTAAGCGCTGCTCAGTGGTAATGAAAACATCTCTGTGTTATAAACATTATTCTCATCCTGAATCCAAACCACAGTGTTACATCAGCAACTATGAAGAAAATTAAATCTCTCCCAGACGAAACCAGGACCCCAGACGAAACCTGGACAGTACAGTCAAGTTCCTCTGAATCCCCTGGAACTGGGGTTCCCTTGCATTGGAAGAGGCAGTTGAAATGGTTTAAGCCTTTATTTTGTGCTGATGCTTTTATGGACTTGTTGTTGATCCCAGGATTAAAAAACAGAAGCATTTTGTAAGAAAAAGTGTCCTAGATATAGTAAAGAGTGAGGAAAGTTTCTCATATTTCTCAGTGTGCAGTGGTTATGGTTTATTGAGAAGTAATTCTGAGCAGCCTTTTGAAAATGTCAGAGGTATTAAAATAAGCACCATAAAACTTTTTCATGTTAAGGTGTCTATTGTTGTCTCTGCCCAAGGATCCTGTCTGTCCCTCTCGGTGTGTGTAGCACAATCCCTCGGTATGGTTTAGGGGGTAGAAGGAGCACAGTGATGTGACTCAGAACTAGCCCACCCTATCTGCCCCAGCCACACCAGCAGGAGGAAAGGTAAGATTTGTCAGAGCTCATTCCATGCCAGAGCCAATGTGGAGACTCCAGACCTTGAAACTCCCAGGGCATTCCCAGCTCCTTCGCTTGCTCTGTAGTATAGGCAATGGTAAAATACAACAAACATGGCATGACCCTCATCAAGATCTTTAGAATAGTATCTGGTGTTCTATTTTGTCATTTTACCACATATGAAAATTGGAGGGTGGCCAGCTGCAACATTTTTGGGGCCAGTTGTTTCTAAACCTCTTGGTGTCATTTTGAGCTCCTGGGCAATTTTGCATTAAGGAATGAAAATCAAGGTTTTGATCAGATGCATTTGTGTAGATATGCTCTGGGGCTTATATGCACATGGAACTGGCAGGAAACTTCTGCTTTAATGGGTGATGCCTGAGGAGCATGGCCACGCTGATGCTGTGCTTGCACCAACTTGCTGTTCCCTGTCTGCTGAATATTAGCGCTTTCTCTGGCTTGACACAAGATTTCATAGTCTCAGATCCTGCCATAATAATGCTTTGCTATAGCTTCTGGTGTTATGTCTGTGTCTCTTAAAAATTACATAATAAGTTAGATGAAAACTAGCTTCAAGGCATTACTGCTTTCCATCAGAAGTCTTGTCCCTCGGCCCTTGCGTTCTGGAGCAAGGTTTTCACTATTCCTTTTTGTGAAACTGTACAAGTCTGCCCTCCTTGGCCACTCTTCACACCTTTAAATTCAGGGAATTCTGCTGTGAAGTAGTCCCAAAATACCTGAATTATATATTGATATTGCTCACAGAAGGGAAGCAGGGATACCTCGTGCCTTTGAGGCAGCTCCCATGGTGCTCCCACATGTGTTGGCCAACTCTGGGTCATCACGCAAGGAGGAGGCAAGCCGCCATTGTCTGTGCCCAAGTCCCTTCCTTGCTTTGTAGAAGTACTCTATTGTTCTGGCTGTTGCTGTGCACGTGTTAGTTTTTCATTGCCTCTTGCAGACAATAGAGTACTTCTTCTCTGCAGGCTTCCCTGGAGCTGCTTAGTCTCCCCCAGAGTGAGAATCCATTGAGATTAGAGGTAATTACTTTGAGATTAGAGGTAAATCCATTGGAGATTAGAGAGAATCCATTTAAAGAAGAAGTAATTACTAGCCTGTAATTGTTTCCCTCTATCCCCCACCATACCCCACCACCCCAAGAAAAACCTGCACAGCTCCATATTTCCATTTGCTCAGACCTCCATGTGTAGATCAGGGACTTTTATAACATACTACTTTTCCCTTGAGTGTATGTGGGTAGGTAGTGGTGAGGGACCATGCTCAGCTCTTAGCTGACAAGAAGCTACTGGGGAGAATGTCGTATTCGTTCAGGGGCTTCTTGAGGCGCCTTTACTGAGTCCACTCTCTAGGAATGTCTGGGGTTCTGCTCATTCATGTTAAAATCTTTCTGTGACATGATTTGTATTATAAATGATGCTGGTTTTATGCCTTATTTCTATTGTCTTTAGCCTTCAAAGAGTCACTGTGCTTCTGCAGTATGTTTCCATACTGTCAATGGACTATTTATTGTCTATTAACTATTGTTAATATATCCTGCAGAGCATTCGTCATCCATCAGGCAGTAGTATGTGAGCAGCATCTTCTCTGCCCCATGCAAACCACAGCGAGAGGAAGAGGCAGGACCAGATACTTGAAGTCAACTGCACTCCCAGTACAGTTTGTATAAAACTTTGTAGGCAGGAAAGTCGAAATTTCCTCTTGGGCATTGCCAAGTGAATGGGTTTCCCCCCAAACAGGACTCTGGTAATGTGTTTCTGGTTTGGGTTTCCTAGTTTTTTGTTTTAGCTGTAACTGCTTGTTGCTTTTTTCACAGCAAGCCAAAGAAACTGCTGAATTTTTAATACTGTGCTTGCATTGCTGTTTGGGATAATTTCTTAAATTGTTTTGAAAATAAGGACCTCATTCCTACCAACCTTCCCATTAAATAGCATTGAAGAAAAGAACTTTTGTTAACCATCTGAAGTCAGTTGCCTAACTTGTAAAAAGCCTGGTTCTCATCTGACCTCTTAGTTGGATTTGCATTATCACAAATAGGCAGGTCATTTTGGTTATATAAAATTTTGCAGTTGTAATTCTGTGAAGCAAAAGGTGGCCTGGCCTCTGCTGGTGGCAGAAGAAGTAAATTTATAAGATAATTCGGTCTTTCAGGCTGTGGTTTGAGTCAGAATATAACACCTGCATTGGAAGAACCTATTATAATATTTAATGGCTCATAGTGAGCCCTGTATTAAATATTGCTTGAGATTTGGCCAGAAGTGGATCAGTTGTCTCTGTCAGATGCATTCAGTGGCGGCTCAGGCATGAAGGCAGTGTTTTTAATCTGGAGAATGTGTCCATATTGCAGAAATCAGTACTGTCATCCTCCTTGAAAGGATTGGCTACAAAATGAAAGGTTTTTGGGTGGGGAGTGAAAAATCAAATTAGTACCTTTCTTACAGAGGAGGTGTCCCTGGAAGGGTCAGGCCTGTTTGGCAGGGTAGAGTGTTGAAATGACTGCTGTATTGTGCCAGCTAAATGAGCAACTACTAATGCCACCAGGTTGACGTTTGACACAATAGCTAAATTCATTTTCTTTTTGAGAAAGTGGGGGGAGAGAAAAATGGGGAAAGAAAAATATATGTACATAAGCACCCTACTGTTTTCTGACTTGGTCATGTCAGGTTTTTTTCAACAGCCTCAAACCTTCCCCTCCCTTGGGATGCTGAGGAGCTATGCCAATAGAAAATGGTGGGGATAATGAGAGAGAACTTTGACCTGCAGGCTTCAAAGTTCACCATAGCTACCTATTCATCTTACACTTCTGGAGTACAGCCGTTGAGTGGATGACTAAAATTCTGGCTGACAAATTCGGTGTCAGCCTCCCCAAAGGGACCCAGGGGAATTTGTCTAGGCATCTCTTGGCTTTTAATGGCAGAATGCCATGTGCAAGGGCTCCCGGAAATGTATTCACCAGGATACCTGCTGGGCGGTGTTACATTCCGCTTCTTTATCTAATCCTTATCCCGATGAATAGCTGATGATGTTTCACTGCTGTCTGTCTTCCAGAGGGTTGCCATCATGCCACAGGTCAGTAGATGACAAAGCTTTAGCTGCGGATGTCCATTTTCTGTTCTTGTGTCCCCATCATCATCACTGCCCCTTATTTATGAAAAGAAAAAACCAAACCCCTAAGAACAGCTTTTTTTATGGAAGGGTTTTTTTTCCTGCTTTTATATTTAATCTGTTCTAGGTTTGCTTTCAAATAAAAGCACAGTACTGTGACACCTTAAGGGGGAAGAATAGCTTCTTAAATACAAAAGAAGGTCTGGTGCCCATCACGTAAAAGCCCATGTAGGATACACATGGTATGTAAATCCCATATGCCTACACAGCAAGGCTGCTTTTTCCTTGCTGAGGTCTGTATTGCAGTAATGCCGCTCCTTAACCTTGCTCTGACCTTATTTATAAAAGAAAAAACCAAACCCCTAAGAACAGCTTTTTTTATGGAAGGGTTTTTTTCCTGCTTTTATATTTAATCTGTTCTAGGTTTGCTTTCAAATAAAAGCACAGTACTGTGACACCTTAAGGGGGAAGAATAGCTTCTTAAATACAAAAGAAGGTCTGGTGCCCATCACGTAAAAGCCCATGTAGGATACACATGGTATGTAAATCCCATATGCCTACACAGCAAGGCTGCTTTTTCCTTGCTGAGGTCTGTATTGCAGTAATGCCGCTCCTTAACCTTGCTCTGATCCTCAC